ATGCAGCACAGACCATTGGAACTTGCATGTAGGCTAACAGCTCTACAGGAAACACACCTACGGCTATAAAAAAGTTTGTTCCCATGGCAACTCACTCCTTCCCAGTCCCCACCCACTTGATTTCAATAGTCAGTGATTTTCAGCTCAAAAATCATTAAACGAGGCCACAAACTCAAGCTAACATATTTATATGCTTGCTGGATCATGCATATAAGGCACCATTCGCAAATATCAAAATGGAACACCTAAGGTGGCCAGAAAAGCCTTTAATATTGGGGAGGTCTGGAACCCAGTACATTGCCATGGTAACAAAACTGTTAAGCTTGTATTGTGGAGCACATTTAGTAGAATCTTACTGCAAAGAATGAAACATTTCTCGAACAAATTGGCTGAGATATCTGTCTTCGTCATATTTGATTAAAATTTGGTGAGTGTATGACTTCATCCCTTGGCTAGTTTGCATATTTTAAAAACTTGAATATCTCTGGAATGAAAATAGATACATGTATTTGAAAATAGTGGTTGAAAACAGCATTTTCCCTCTCATAGACTACTTATTTTTCTTTTAAACTGGTTTTGATAGTACCACTTTAAAAAAAATATTAATATTTCAATCACACTTCTGAAGTCTGTCCCCTGTATGTGAGACATTATCCTTATTTGGTAGGGGCTTGACCAGAAAATATGTCCCCTATACGTGGGGCATCATCCTTGTTTCATTTTACTCTAGGGCTTATGTCCCATGTTTCCCCCCCCCCTCTGGGGGGGGGGTGGTTTACAGTGATAGCTGCATTATGTTATGCTTATCATTTAATATACAGATTTTAATAGCAAAATATAAACATTCTTAATCGACTCTCAGGTTGAGGAATGTTCTTAGTACGTTCTTAAAATTTTGGTTAGTCTCAGCCTCAACATTCTTATAAAAAAGGTACTGATACTGATCTTTGGAGAAGCATGCCGACAGTCTGCGGATGGATACATTATATTTACACAGGTTGTTTCACATGCTAAATAGCCTAAGTTACTTATTATCTGATCAGTGCTTGTCGTGGAAAACAGTTTCCATGGATTGTATATTCTGAAAAGTAAAAGCAACATAACTGAACTGCCCAGAAAGGAGATTTGCAAATGAAACCGAAGATATCAACTTCATGCTACACCAAATATCTTGTGTCAACAGTTCTCATGTAAACAAAAATAAATCTGCTAGAGTCTTAACCTCCAATTTAATTAATTTTCTAGATAAGACAGAAACCATAAAGTCTAATCTTAATTTCGCTTATCATATTTTAATTTTTAATGAACTATTCGACAGGGATCAATTGTCTCTTGATGGTCAGCTTCGTTTTAACTTCAATATGGCAGCTGCAGCAAATCTGGAAAATAAGCAAACTTGAAGCAAGGGTAACCGCAAAACTAAAAAGTGTCTCAAAAAAATTGCAAACTTGTATATCTGTGAACATCTAGTTATTGGCCAGGGCCTTTAATCGTGTACCAACAAGCATTTTCAGCAGTCATTTTAGGGTACTACAGAGCTATTAAAAAACAGCCACAAGGTGTCTTCCAGAAAAAATCATAAAATATTTATAACTAGAGAATATCTGCTTTTCATGTCATCAATAAATTGGTCGAGACCCTAAATATAATATTATCCCAAAGGAAAATTCACAGTTAATTTTTGACTAACGCTGACTAAAACATACGTACATAAATACATATCATACAGAATCTTGATGCTTCGAATATCGAAATTTGGCTTGATCCGGAATTAACAGTGTTTAATTACTCCCCAAAGAATATTAGAACAAACTAACATTGTTTTGTTTACTTTGGTACAAGGGTCTATCAATATAAAAAGTATTAGCAAAATCGATTTTTTGGCTGTGTCCGTGATTTTGATGATCATCTTGATCCTAACATTCCCGGCAAAGTGAATCGAACATTGGAAAATCGAACTCAATTAAACTCAATCAAACTCAATCCATGCATTGAATTCAAATGAGTTTGGCAATCAAACACCGAACTTTGTGAGTTCGATTTCCAAACCAATGGAACTTAATCGAACAAATCGAACTTAATCGAACTCCATCAAACTCCATCAATTAGATTGTGTTCGATTGAGTTCGGCAAGTGAACTCAATTGAACTCAATCCAAGGATTGAGGTCACGTTCAGTTGGATCGGTGAGTAAATTCCGATCCCTTGAATAAGGCTTATGTTATGTGGTCTGCACGCTTCGTTACTGTACCCCAGCTCTTATAAACCTATACATACAAAGCAAGCCCATCAAAAACAGCTTTCTCTCATCCTTTTTTACACTGATTATTCAATAACAAAACAAACCTAATTGTCCGCATTTGCCTACAATTCGAAAAGCTAAGCCTTTCCTAACTATTTTCTTTAAAACGTCGAAATTTTCATCCTCTTTCACGTCAAAGCGGCAATGCTGGTAGCCTTTTACAACGCATTTAATGCTAACTACCCACAGCGCATCTGAGGCCATTTCTCCGCTGAAATTTCTGCGTTTACAAAAAACAAATGCTTCACTCCCGGTATACTGGAGAAACTGGAGTCTCCAAGATCTTATTATTGATTTTCAACACCAGTTTTACAAAAATCAAGAGTTCGAAAATCAAACATTCGACTGTACAGTTTTTTTTGTGTGAGTTCGATTCTGTTCGAGTACCGAACACAATTTTAATCGACGGATTAAGTTCGATGAAGTTCGGTTGAGTTCGATTAAAAAAACAGTTCGATTGGGTTCGATTCACTATGCCGGGTAACATTCCAGAGTAGCATTCCTAAGCTGTTGAGTTTCTAATAGTTATTTACCCTGGTTTGCCGTCACATATGAAGAAATATTTTTTAAGCGAAATATTTACACAACCCGGCTTGTTGCTGACTGATAATCACGCAAAAAGCTGAAGCTGTATGATAAACGTTCACGTAATTATTCGCATGGAAATTCTTCGTAAGAAATTAAACAAAATGTCAGAAAGGCAAACAGACATTGACTTGATTTAAAATAAACTGGAAGTGAAATAGAGAAGATCCCAAAAGAATAGGCATGCAACTCAGAGTCTACAAAGAGAAATCAGACAACAGGGCCGGGAACAGAGCAACAGAAATGTAAATTATTCCAGTTGCTATGACACTTTTCTCAACTGAAGCACGGCTAGCAAAAGAATGGAAGCGTTCCAAAGATGAATCGATGAGTACAAGCAATAAAAATTGCAAGTTTATCATGTAAATAACTCAACTTACCGCAATTTCTGATCAGAACACCAGAATCTCAACTTCCGGGTTAGGGTTACGAGCCAACTATCGTCTAACCATTCCTCTTGCTTTTTCGTGTAGTTCTGTAACTTTAGAGTTACTTTAGACTTTAGAGTTCTGAACGAAAAATCTCTCTAGGGAATGTTGCACAACGCAGTCAAACCGAAACTATGGCCCCGTCTAAGCATATAACAAGATCCGGGACATTGGGATTCTTGACAATTCTCATGGCAACGTTGAGTCACGCTAACGTCAGGTCACTCCAACAACGAGTTGAGTCACGCCATTTTTAAGTCACGCCAACAACGAGGCCCCGGGGCAGTTACCGAAACGGTGGGAAAAAAAATCGACCAGAAAACGCTTATCTTCGCGGAATTTTTTCTACAATGTACAGAAACCTTTTCTTTTACAACTTGTCGTAGAGTGAGCCAAAATAACACAAGCTCGAAGAAATACATTGGGTAAGATCTATTGCATTGTCGAGGAAAAGGTTGTTGTTATTCATCGTGGTAGAAGCAATAATAAAATGTATTATCGTTTGTCTCATGATGTAGTCACTTGAGATGTAGATCCCGACGTTTCGACCGCTAGTCTTCTTCAGGCGATAAGGTCGACTGATTGCACGGTATCATTTATATCACAAAGGTCGG